GGGGGTGTAAGTGTGTGTTGCGGAGGGTGGGGGTGATGTTTATGTTTGTGTGTGTCCGCTTGTATGCATTTGTGTGCGCACTGGTATGCGAGTGTGTGTGTTGTTATGTATACTAGGCAAAGTCTAGTCAAACTCCAGGCCTAGCTGTATCATGCTTACGCTGTATATATCCAGCTACTGTCAGGTGTGCGAGAATAATTTTGAATATCCCTTCAATAACAATGTGTGTATTACGAGGTCTGTCTCAGAATAAAGTTTCCCTGTCATGCTGTCCTCACATATAATTATAAATCACCTTGTATTTGGTATCAACTTAAAGCTTATTCAAACAACTACTGGGCCATCAAAAAATAAACTGTAAAACTTTTTAATGAATATCTCGCACAAAATTTGTACCTGAATGTTGTAATAAGGAACAGATAGATATTATTCATTCAAAATTATTTTTATTACAGAAAATTCATAAAGAAGACACTTGTTTTTGAAAATGGAAATGGCTTTTATTTTTTATTTTTTTTTAAACTTCTATTAACTAAAAATGCACCAACTTAAAAGATCTTGTAATTTAAGGAGAGCCACGCGCTCATATGACCGTATGCAGTTGCATGTTATGTTATGTTATGTTATGTTATGTTATGTTATGTTATGTTATGTTATGTTATGTTATGTTATGTTATGTTATGTTATGTTATGTTATGTTATAGGAACGGGGATAACATACATAAGTACAACCCTGGGATGACACCCTCAGGGAAGTTTTTGAAAGGTGGCCATAAATAAGTAATTTACCCTCCCAACTACACCATTGATGATGGTGATAATGATAATGATAATAATAATGATGATAATCCTAATAATAATAATGATAATTATAATTATAATAATTGCATGTATAGCGCATATCCACGGTGTACACCATTCTCTTGTAGACCAGATTTTAGACTGGCTTCCGTGGTGTAGCATTTAGGTGTTCGCCACCAGTGTTAGGAGACCAGACTTCGATTCCCATATCGGGAGAATTCTATCGAGTGTCTCGGTCTTTCTACCGGGATATTGTAATCATACCTCTCACCTCGGGTTGGCCCTGACAGGCAGGGTCGAAGCTCGCCTCCTGTATGGTTTAAATTGTAACGATGGGGGCGTAAAGAAAAAATCAACACCTACATAGATCATTTTGGGAAGGGCTGCCCAACCCCTGCTTGGTAAGGTCAATCTTAAGTTAGTAGGATACCGCATTCTTTCAGAACGATAAAAATATTTGATAGAATAGCTTATCTATCCGATAATCGAACTCACGCCTTCTGCGCACAAAGCCATGAACATAAAACTGTCAACAAATCCAGTTCTAGATTGACGGAAGCATATACTTCCTCGGATGCGTGATCCCTGACCTGAAAGTGTAGGCGCAAGTTTGTGAAGGAGCCTACACGGGTTGAGAGATCAGATCAAGTCTACAATTTAAACAAAAAATATAGCAAATGATGATATTTTTTTTTAAGTTGAAACAAATTTTGGGCAACTTGTGTCGGAAGCAATGTTTGTAACTGTTTGAGCGTATGTGTGTGTG